ATGAAAACATATGGTACTTTATGAAACCAAAAATATGACAAGAGACCCCAAACTGTTGAACAGCTGAAATGCTAGAACAGCAAGAACAGCAAGCAAGAACAGGAAAACATTTCACTTTCAAAACTACAGCAGTTGGTCTTCTCAGTTCCAAAACACAGTGTTGTTAAATAAAGAGGTGATGCACCACGGTGCTAAACATGCCCCTGTCCCAACTTTTTTGGAATGTGTTGCTGGCATCAAATTCAAAACAGGTATATATTTTTCAAAAAACAACAAAATTTCTCAGTTTTAGCATTTGATATGTTGTCTTTGTACTATTTTCAAATAAATGTAGGGTTTAAATGATTTGCTCGTCATTGCATTTTGTTTTCATTTATATTTTGCACAGCCTCCTAACTTTTTTTGGAAATGGGGTTGTACTAAAGAACCCTTGAAGAACCATCTTTTGTATGTGTGTTAGTAGTAACTGAGTAGTTATTTTACATAAATGAGAATAATGAGTCTGGAGTCTGAAAGGGTTAAAACAGTGGTGCTATGCCACCTATGAATTCAGTCTAATGTAAAATTGTAGGTCTACAAGTTCTTGGATGAGTAAAGGCTAACATCTGTGTGGGCAGATAAAATCTGTTATCCATCCACTGAGTAAAAAAAAGCAAAAAACACATTAATAACCAAAGAGAATCCAGCCTAAATCTTTGTATGATGTTCTCTGAGTTTAAACAAAGTGCATCCTGTTCCTTCTGAGAGAGTTTTTTGGTGAAAGTACTCCTCAGCTATAACCATGATGAAAGGCCCGGAGGTTCACCTTTCAACACGTCATCACTCTTTTCCAGGCCCAGTAAGTGTCAGCAGTAATAGTCCATGTAAAGCTTTTTATTTCTCTTCTCTCTTTCTCTCTTTGTAGATGTGAAGAAGCCGGTGAACCTATGTAGGCCCAACCCGTGTATGAACGACGGCGTTTGTGTCCTACTGAACAGGAGCTATCGCTGTGAATGCCGAGGCTGGGAGGGCCCTCACTGCGAGACACGTCTGTATTAATAGCTGTTCATGAATTCCATTTTGTGCCTGTGCATTGTATGTATTTATTTTAATATTTAATGTGTGTTACATTATCAAATTTTGACAAAATATGACGGTGACTATATTTTTGCAGAGCGCTTTCTATGAAAAGTTTTATGGGCACCTTTTTTGAAATTTGAATATTCTAGCTGTTTCCTTTCAATTAAGTAAGATTAAATACCTTCAAAGGTATTGTTAACATAAAACAGCTATTTAGTTGTTAGGAGGAGTAGATTTTGCCTAAATTGTTTAAGTTTTGCAAGTGGAATTTATTTTACAAATTCTTGCTTGATACAAGACTTCAGCTGCAGAACAGTCTGTCTCCTCTTCATGATGCGCCGTACATTTTCAATAGCAGATAGATCTGGGCTGCAGGCAGGCCAGTCAAGACAAGCCATGCTGTTGTAGCACATACAGAATAAGGCCTGGCATTGTCTTGCTGAAATAACCATGGACTTCCAGGGAAAAGATGTCATCTTGATGGCAGCAGATGTCTCTCTAAAATCCCAATATACGCCTCTGCATCAGTGATACCTTCAAACATATGCAAGTCACCCATGCCGTGGGCACTGATGCAGCCTCTACCATGACAGATTTCGGCTTTTCATCCTTTGTTGATAAAAGTCTGGATGGTTCCTTTGGTCTTTGGCGCAGAGAACTTGATGTCCATTTTTCCCAAAAACAGTTTGAAATGTAAACTCTGCTGACCACAGAACACATTTCCACTGTCTTTCAGAATGTTGGAGATGAGCTCGGGCCCAGAGAACTTAGCGGTGTTTCTTCATAGATTTGCCATATGGCTTTCTCCTTGTGTAATGGGCTTTAAAGTTGTATATCTTGATGCAGTGGCGGACTGTGTTAAATGACGTTTTTTTTCGTACTCCTGAGCCCATGTGGCTGTATTTTACACAGTAGCATGATGATTTCTCATGCAGTGCTGTCTGGAGGGCTCTAAGGTCATGCACATTCAACAGTTTCCAGCCTTGCCCTAAACAGACTGAGATTTCTCCAGACTCCCTTACACCATTCAAAACTGTATTACTTGAATATCCTGTAAACTTTTCACTTATATTTTGCCCCATCGCAACTTTTTTGAGTGTGTTGCAGGCATCAAATTCAAAAGTTGTATATATTCACAAAATATAATCATGTTGGTCAGCCAGAAACACTGAAAGTGATTTCTTTGTACTTTTGTCAGTTAAATGAAGTTTCCAGAGAATAAATTTTTTTGCATTTTACAAAATGTCCCAACTTTTTTAGAAATGTGGTTTGTAAGTTAACGTGCTCATTTGTATTGAAGACATTTTGACAGTATTTTGTACTTTATTGAAGGCACTTAATGTACACTATATGGCCAAAAGTATTGGGACATATACATATTACACCTACAGGAGCTTTTATGACATCCCATTCTAAATCCATAGGCATTTATATGGAGTTGCCCCCCCACCACCTCCTTTGCAGCTATAACAGCTTCCACTGTTTTGGAAAGGCTTTCTACAACATTTTGGAGTGTGTCTGTGGGAACTGTTCCTATTCACCCAGAAGGGCATTTGTGAGGTCAGATACTGATGTTGGATAAGAGGACCTGGCTTGCAATCTCTGTTTTAGTTCATCCCAAAGGTGTTCAGTGGGTTTGAGGTCAGGGCTATGTGGGCCAGTCAAGTTCTTCCACACCAAACTCACCCAGCCATGTCTCTATGGACTTGCTTTGTGCACTGGGGCTCAGTCATGCTGGAACAGAAAAGGGCCTTTCCCAAACTGTTCCCACAAAGTTTAAAGCATACAACTGTCCAAAATGTCCTGTTATGCTGAAGCATCAAGATTTCCCTTCACAGGAACTAAGGGGCCAAGGCCAACCCCTAAAAAACAACCCCATAGCATTATCCCTCCTCCAACTTTACACTTGGCACAATGCAGTCAGGCAGCTAACATTCTCCTGGCATTCGCCAAACCCAGACTCATCCATCAGACTGCCAGATTGAGAAGCGTGATTCGTCGCTCCACAGAATATGTTTCCACTGCTCCAGAGTCCAGTGGCGGTGTGCTTTTTACGCCACTCCATCCGACGCTTGGCACTGTGCTTGGTGATGTAAGGCTTGCATGCAGCTGCTCAGTCACGGAAAGCCATGTCATGAAACTCCCAGCACAGTTTTTGTGCTGATGTTGATGCCAGAGGAGGTTTGGAACTCTGCAGTTATTGAGTCAGCAGAGCGTTGGAGACTTTTATGCGCTATGTAACTCAGAACTCAGCGACCCTGCTCTGTAACTTTACGTGGTCTGACACTTCATGGCTTAGTTGCTATGGTTCCTAAATGCTTCCACTTTTCAATAATTCCACTCACAGTTGATTTTGGAATACTGCAAAGTCCCTTCGAGCGTGCTCTTTAATTTTGTATGCTGGCTGGAAAGCTGAGCGATTCGTGTTGTTTCCAGAGTAAAAGGCAAGCTCTGTGTCTCCACCCCCTGCTCCTAGTGTCCTCACTCCTCCCAGCCTCCCAAAGATCTTCACACCATTCTTTCATAAATGTTTGTAAAGGCAGACTGCATTGCTAGGTGCATGATTTTATACACCTGTGGCAATGGGACTGAATAAAACTCCTGAACTCAATGATTAAGAGATGTGTCCCAATACTTTTGTTCATATTGTGTATGTTGTTGATCATCTGCTTTGAGTCTTTTGAAAGCTTTGGTTGATAGCATTGTTTGTGCTGTGTTGATCTGTGCTTTGTTTATGTGGAGAAACCATTACTGAACCAGTACATTTTGCATTCCCCTACAGGAAGTAGACAGCAGCCCTCCAGAGGAGACCTCCCTAAACCTGCAGCACAGAGACGCCGCCAAAGAACGAGCAGCAAAGAGCTACTGCAGCGCTACAGAGAACACCGCAGGAGACATGCTGGCCGATCACAATGATGAGCCACACAGGGCATTCCACACTCTTACTCACTCCTTAGAGAGCGTCACAGCTTACCTACCAGGAGAAAAGGGAAACATTAAAGGGAAGTATGTATTTTGCCTGGCTTACTGTGAGCTATTTAGTGCAGGAAATTGGAGTTAGTGAGAATCCTCAGACTTGCTGCAGCAACATTCATCACAGGCTCTGTCATCATTACACTAGACAAGTAAACATATCATTACACTCCCTGTGAGGAGGCGGGGGAAGCCACTTCCTTTTTTTACAGTTTTAAAGACTGCTCTTCATCAGGCCTTTTTAAACATACAGCTGTTAAAGCTGTAAAAGCAAGACATAATTATTGTAACACAACAAAAAAATTGCAGCCTGTCAATTAAAAAATGCTTTTAGTGCCTTATGTCAGGAGTTTTTTTTAATATAAATGTTCTATGTTTTTCATATGTTGTCCATTATCAGGACATAATTATCAGGTGCTCACATCATTTTCATATGCATTGCTTAAGGTCCATTTCAGGTGCATTTCTTTTTGCATTTCTATGCAAAAGTCAGAGACCCCCTTTTATCATTTATTTAAATTCCTGTCAAAATTTAGTACAAGTTATTATTTTTTCAGCATCAGGAAAAGCAGAAAACCTATATTTAACTGAAAATCACACAGAAGCTTCAACAACTAAATGTGATACATTTTTCAGTATTTAGTGTGTCCACCTTTATTACAGCTTCCACTCTTTTTGGAAGACTTGCTCTCATTTTTTTTAAGAAATCTGCAGGGACATTTTTCCACACTTCCAAAGTTCAGTCTTAGAACTGTTAGTTAGTTAGAACTTAGTTGCTTGTAGTTTCTGCTTCTTATGATCCAAGTAATCCCAAACACACTCAGTGATGTAGAGATCTGGACTCTGGGGTGGTCAGTCCATTGTTTTAAGAACTTTTTTTGTTTAAGATCTTCTTTGTTTGATTAGCATACATCTTTTTTGTCCATTTCCTGTTCTCAGTAACAGCTCCTTGACAGCTACACATCCTTTCAGACTCATAGTATTGAGTTGTCTTCTCACAGTGGAAGGATGGACAGAAACACGTGTGGATTTTTTCAGATCTGAAGCAAGAGTGGAGTGCCAAGGCCAGTAAATCAGATCTTCATGAAGCTGAAAATCGATCAGAAACAGTCCCACAACATTAGATGTTTGAGCTCTGGAAAAAGTCTAATGAATGAAGATGAAATGAATAACCATCTCATTTCTTGAGAAATATTTCCTGAAAATGAATAACCTGTACTTAACGGCTGTTTTGACTTGAAATTGAAAAAATGAAGGGTGGTCTCTGGCTTTTGCACAGTGCTATATAGGCTACTGACAAAGTTTCAGAACGGTTTGTGATGTCAATGTTTGATGTTCAGAAAACCTTTGTTACATAAGGCCTCTTTCAGGAGGCGCATTTTAAATATTTATTTTACATGCTTATATATTGTGCTAATGAACTGTGCAATTATTAAATGTCTCTTTTTTTTAAACAGTCATTTAGATTGCTTATAATGTTGTACATGCAAATCATACTAATTTGGCACCACCTATTGGAGGAACAGTTCATAAGTACATTTTGTAAACATATCTACTGTGGTTATGAATTGTAAAATTATTAAATTACTCTTTTTTTCCAAAGTAATTTGGATACCTTATAATGTACATATAAATCATACTTGTCATTTGGTGCCACCTACTGACCTACTGTGGTTCAGAATTGTAAACTTGTCATGTGAATGTTATGTTGTATATACAAATTATGCTTGTTTTTGGTGCCACCTACTGGGAAAAAAATTGAGAAATTTTCCTTTTCATCTGCGATGTTTAGTTTGAGATATTGATTATAGAGTATTAAGAGATGTTGGTACATATAAAGCCTTTCTGTCAGTACTGATTTTTATTTGAATAAAAAGTGCATGTTTTTGCTAGCATACAGTAATGTCAAATGAAACTGAACTGCTTTGTAATATGTATTTACATCTAGCCTACCAGCATACATAAACCAGGCTACAATCTAGACTGTACCAAATAGTTAACCATATGAGCGACACATTGTAGCTTGCTGCAATGAAAAAACTAATGGCTCTCAAAGTTCTCCCATCTTCTAACATCTCTTAGATGTATTTAAAAATGCTCCTTTCTGTAATGTGCTTATGTCTGTTATAAAAAATGTATTTAAATTTCTCCCTTTTCATATAAAAAAAGAATTAAATAGATTGTTTCAACAGTGTCCAGTGGCATTGTTGGAGAAATGCAGGGGACAACAGCATTATCTTTGATAAGCTGCTTGCAGTAAGCAGTACCATTGCAGTCTCTCATTGGAGTAGAAGCAAAAAAAGGGGGTGTGGCATGATGACTGAGGGGGCGTAAACTGCAGGGTGAAGAATGCGTGCCTTCTCTCCTTTCCTGCCATCAGCCCTGGCCCAAACAGACAATACAGCTTGAGTTGACCAGAGGCTGTGTTAGTTGAGAGTCTTCATGTCACATTTAAACATTCTCCATTTCCAATTCTATGCTTAGGTTGTCGATTTCTTTTCCCACTCCTGCAAAGAAAGAGGTGTTCAGGTCAAACACTAAAGCCATAAAAAGAAAAAAAGACTATGAGGTTAGAGTGCAGAATGCCATTTTGTGTCTTTGTCATGCTTAAGAAAGCAAAGAATAGATTTAAAGTTCATTCTATCTAGTCTTCATCTGGAGTTTATTGTTGCTATTGTCTAAATGTGGATGGAAAAGTGCCCAGGCCAGTAAATCAGACCTTCATGAGGCTGAAAATTGATCAGAAACAGCACCACAACAGATCAAAAACAAGAAATTGTTCATAATCCAAAGCACACCACTTCACATCTGTGAAACATGGTGGTATGAACATAAATGGTAGAGGCTATATTTACTGATGAAATGACTGCTGATAGCAGAAGTAAGTATTTTGAAGTGAGCTCCACTGAGGACGTACTTCACTTGCAGAGGAATCAAAGCAAAACCCCCCAAATGAAGCTGGAACTGAAAACTGTATTTTCGGTCTAGAAAAGTGTCACCTGGGAGAGACTGGTGATATCTGTCAGTGACCTCAAGGAGTAATCAAGTGCAAAAGATGTTAATTATCAAATAAAATGTCTATTTATAGCACCCTAAAATGGTTGATGATATTTCACCCAATACATTTGTATTATTAATTTATGACTTTCTGCACTTTCACCTCATAGTTACTGTTTCACTTCAAAGCCAGCAGACCACAGAACCAAAACATCAGAAACACTCCCTGTCAAATTATTTACATTCTGCATCATACATATGAAACAGGGGAATGTCTGGGCTTTCAGATAAGGCTTCTCACCTTGGCTTTCTGCAGTACGTTTCCTTTGCTGGGTGCCATGATAGACAAAGGCCTGTTCTTCAGTGCTGTGGCCGAGTTCACAGGTGAAGAGTCCCCATTGTTGACAGGCGTCGTTTGGGCAGGAGGGACTGTCTTGGGCTGAAAAGAAAGAGGACAACACATCAGCATCTAGTAAAGCCATGCAGTCATTTTCTTCTCAATGCAGTGGCTGCAGTAGCCAGTTCAGACTGATCTATGATGTGACTGAAAATAGGCTGTAGTTCTGATGGTAACCTTAATTATTTAGGAAATCTGTCCCTTCTGAACAGTCAGTAAGGAAATATTTGAGGGTGCCGCTGTGGTGAGCACACATACAGTGGGCTGTGTATCCAGTAGGCCGCTGTCCACTGTGGTGCCCAAAGTAAAGGGTCCAGCCTCCACCTTCCGCAAGCTCTCCTTCACTTCAACCAGCCTGAGCTCCACCTCCACTCTCCGGCGCTCTGCTTCTCGACATGCCTCCTCCCTCTGCTTCAGAAACGCTTCCAGAGAAGCCTGCTTAGAGGGGTCTATGAAAGACAGCATAATAAGACAGTTCAGATCTTTATACACAAAGCTGTAGTTGGAAGGACTATAAAGTTGGAATGTAACCATGGAAGTGGGTGTGGTCCATTGATTCCTATATCAGTGTTGTAGTCCACATCAGATGTGTTTTTTAAGCAATTAATCAATATACATTTCTACCATCTGGATAATGATAGCTGGGCAGTAAAACAACTCAACACTATGTGTCTGAAAGGATGTTTAGCTGTCAATAAGCTCTTACTGAGAAAAGGAAACAGACAAAAAGGAACAATGAAACAATGAAAATTTTGCAAATCAAATAAAAAGCCGCTGTTCTCAGAACAATGTACTGACCACCCCAGAGTCCAGAACTCAACACCTCACTGAATATGTCTGGGATTACTTTGATCGTGAGAAGCAGAAAATTCAACCAACTTCTAAGACTAAACATTGGAGGTGTGGAAAATGTCTTTGCTAATATCTTTGAAAAACTAAATGCAAGTCTCATGAAAAGAACGCAAGCTGTATTTAAGGCAAATTTTTTTTTACCACAAAATATGGTCTGTTATATACACATATCCAAGTTGGTTAAAGATTAGAAATCGCACATCCTTTAAAACACATGCTTTTCAAAAAGCACAACAAATTCTGAGATTCACTGTCATTTGTCAGTGGAGTAAGGAAGAAGAACTTGTTCACTAGAGGGCACTGTGTACCTTGGCAGGAGCTCAGCTCCTCTTTCGCTTCCCGTCTTTCCTTCCTCAGCGTGGCCAGGGTGTTCTTGACCTCTTCCCTCTCTCGCTCCAGCCGGTCTCTCTCATCTGTGAAGCGTCGCACGTCGGCCTCCGTCCGGTTCTTCCCTAGTTTCACTTCGATTGACCCCGAGCTTGCTGCAAAGGGCAGAATGTGGAGCAGAGTTCAGTTATAGTCCAGATTCAAATAGTGAAAGCAAAAGTTTGGAGTGCATGAGTGACAAATAGCACAGTAACTTGAGTAAATAGAAATTAACAGAAAGAGCCTGTATGAAACTGCTGCTGGCTGGGTTGTTACCTGCTGCAGAAGGCTTCAGTCTGTCGAAGAACCTATCAGTGCTTGCAGCCCTTCCTCTGGAGGTTGGGGGGCTGTGGGGTATGTGTGAAGGTGTGTGCTGCTGACTGTGGATTTGACTTCGAGGAGAGCTGGGGCTGTGGGGAGTGACCTTCTTCTGGCCATCTTGACTCGGGAGGCTGATTCTCTGAGGCTGTGGTGCTGGGTGTTGTTGGTGCTGTGGCTGGTTCTGTGGCTGGCTCTGTGGCTGGGCACTGGGACTGGAGGATGTGTTCTGGTCTAGATCCAATCTGGGGGTGACTGGTGGAGGATTGAGGTGCTCTGTGGTTGTGGGTAATGAAGTTTCATACTCGGACTCTGCAGGTTTCACATCCTAGGGGTAGGAAAAACAAATGTTATGCTTTTAGAAATACAGTGGTTAGCCTAGTGTGATGTTTCACACTGCGTATATTTAATACCATGTCCTAACTAAAGCAAAATAGACAGCATTAACCTAGAATGATGTTTCATGCGGCATATATGTAATCATAAATTCTAGATACAGTCTAAATGGAATGAGCCAATTTTTCACAACAGCAGAACATGATATTTTAGGAAATAACCCTTATTTTCATCTTATTTGTTTTAGGTGTTATCGTCTTATCATTTTTACTTGTTTTAAGTAATTATATCTAGTGAAACTGTCTTACTCCAGTGGTTCCTAACCCTGGTCCTGGAGTAACACCTGCCCTGCACATGTTTGTGTTTTCCCAGCTCCCAGCACACCCGATCCGACTCATCAACTCATTCACAAGCCCTTCCTGAGTGGGACTAAGTGTGTTAGAGCAGGAAAACACTAAAATGTGCAGGGCAGGGGGTGCTCCAGGATCCAGGACTGGGAGCCTGTGTCTTACTCCAATGTCAGATTATTTGACTTGTTTTAAAAAATCATGTTTATAATAAGCAACGCTATGTCAAAAAATATGTCTTATAAGAGAAATATTTCATATATTGATTAAATTTAATATGACCTGTAAGAAACTTGATGTTGTATTAAAGATGATGGCTTTCAAGATGGAGAAGGGGTATGGTAACATACAGTACTGTGCAAAAGTACCCTTATTTATTCAATTTTGACCTAAAATGGCAACTAGTTGTTGATTTTTCAGAAGATATTTTCAGGAGATTAGATATAAGATTATCTCCTTTTATAAGGAAGTGGAAAGGTAAAGAGAAAAAAACAAGTGTTTCCAAAACTGGAGTTCAAAAAAATTATTAACAGATTAATTAAGGACTCCTAACAATCATGCAAGACCTGGTAAACCACCAAAACTGTCACAGCTTTCATCTTTGAGAGGAAAATCAAGCTCCACTCTTGCTTCAGATCTAAAGGGGTTTATGTCCATCCTTCCACTGAGAGAAGACAACTCAACACTATGAGTTTGAAAGGATGTGTAGCCTACAAGAGGCCATTACTGAGCAAAGGAAATAGACAAAAAAGAAGAAAATGTGCAAATCAAACAAATAACCTCCTGGTGGTTTCTGAACACTGGACTGGTCAACCCAGACTTCAGTAACACTGAATGCGTTTTGAGCTTAAGATTACTTGGATTTTAAAAAGCAAATAATATCTTATGAGTTGTGAAAAACTATCCCTGCAAATTTTCCAAGGTCTCTGAAAAAGAACTGAAGCTGTAACAAAGGTAAAGTGTGGACACACTAAATACAAAAAAAATAAATTATTATAATGTTTTATATATAATATAAATAAATATTAATTAAAATAAATCTACATCACAGTACTTTACATCGTAACAACACCCACAGGTTTAATACAAAATGACAATGAAGTATATCAATCTAACATTAAGCACCTTACAGATATTTGAGTGACAGCTTTTGATAAACCTTGAACTGTATCTTAGCTGAAGTATAGATGGAAGTAGCCTAGTGTGATGTTTCACAGGTGGAATCCTGTGTTATAGCTGAAGTAAAAGAGATGGATTTACACAGCTACACTTGTTTATTGTTGTACAGCTAACAGATATTCCATTGGATTTAGAACAGAGGCAGAGGCAAACATTTGGTTTGGCGTGGTCTTTAAGTCCTGACCTCATTCACAGGGTCCTGTTGCTCAGCGGTGGGAGCTGGGGTGGGGCTGGGCTCTCTCTGTGGAGAATGGGCGGACTGGGGGGACACTCTGCCCGAGTTTGTGTGGAGGAAGGAGCGGACAGGAATTAGGTCCAGATATACTCTGTCCTTTCCATCCTGCTCTGTGCTCACCAACAACTCACTGCTTCCCTCCTGACCATCCTGATCATTGCACAGCAAACACAGAGAGACTCACTGACATTAAAACAACAACACCTGTCAGTTAACACAGACACAGTCCTGACGCATTAGTGACTCTCAAAGCGCTCTCATTGTTTCTCTCAGACAGTGTGGGCCCTTCTGTATTTTTCTTCTTTGGGAGTTAAGCAGAGTTCTTAGAATGAAGACAGTCACTGATGACTAGAAAAAGAAACAAAAAACTCAAAACAATGCTGCTCACCTCCTGTTCATTCTCTGTGGAGGCCACATCATCGTATATGTCGTCAGCGTCGTGGGGATTTGATGGGAGGGTGTCTGTGTAAGTATTAGGCTCAGAATATCTCCTCTGCATTAAGCTGAGTAATACACATAAAGATTTATATTACAATAACCTATTTAGCAGACACTGTTTTCAGAAGCAGGTTACCGTACAAGGAAGGTAATACTTTATTTGAAGGTTGCCTATTTAGGGACTTCATGACACACACACAGACCTGAGATGTTTTATGAAGTATATAACACTGTATTAACATAATGGCCCATACACTAAAGTGACAACTGTTCCATCTGTGATGTTCATATGAAGCATCATTCCCCAGTGATGGATGTTATAAGACAGAGGCAAGGGTAAGAAGACCGTATATCAGCTCTATGAAACATTCTGATACTCTCAAATCTAAGTGATCACTTTCATAAAATATAACTTAAGTAAAAGCAAAAGTTCCCTATCTATATTCCTAATTGAGTACAAAGGTATAAAGTCACATTTAATGGTATTTAATATGTGCTGTGAGAAACTGTACTTTACCTCAAGTAGAAACATGTAGAACAGACATATGGTGTTCTTAAGCAGGCCTCTGCAGTCCCACAGTAAAAAAAAAAAAACGACGACGTATCCCATGGATATTTACAAGGACTATGTTATGAGCTATTTAAACACAGGGCATTAATTGAGATACTATTGAGATAATGATAGGCTAAACAGCCCTGTGATGGACTGGCGGCCTGTCCAGGGTGTTTCCTCCTGCCCAATAAACGCTGGAATAGGCTCCAGCACCCCTGTGACCCAGGAGGATAATGTCTTAGAAGATGAGATGATGATGAGTAATAAGCTAAATATATAAAATTCATCATTTATAGGGTACTTTCTATTGGGAGATGGCTGTCCCAAACCCTAACCCCTAAACTTACACTTGTGAATATTATAAATATATATCATATTCTTAATGTTTAAATTTAGATTTATCTTTTCAAAAAATGCTGTCCCATATTTTCATGTCATTACTGAAATACAAAGAATTACATTCCACAGACGGAGCCTTATTTGGTACAATGGTCTATATAAATTCCATAACTTTGGAATGATGCTTCATAGCATATTGACATATTGATATTCACACATTTTGTTTTATGAAAATGTTAACCAATACTTGGCCATGTGTTAAGAAGTCCCTGAGGTTATTGTCCAATTTTTAATCATTGGTTGTGCTCCCTGGGAATCAGGGAATGGAGACCTCACACAGACCTCCAGTTCAGCCACAAGAACACTTTTAGATCTACAGCTAAACAGATATCCATACACAACATCCCATGCATGTTTGTTAATGTATGTGCTCTTCTACTGATGTCCAGCAGACAGGGATAGACTTACTACATGGAGGTCTTGGCTGCATTGACTATACTGGATATCCTTTCAGAGTTTACGTAGTCATAGGTGAGTTCCTCTGGGTCAGTTTTGGTCCCCGTCTGTGAGAGTAACAATCCCAACCAGTGGCCCATGTCCGCAGATGACTTTGCCTGAGAGATGAGGAGAATACACAAAAAAAGAGAAATATATATATATATATATATATATAAATCCAGTAATGCAGTGCACTGGTACATTAGCTGTTTCTCAAACTGTGACGTTCTAATAATGAATCATTAAGGCATCTCTGAAAAATGTTTGCCCAGAAGATGGCAGTCATGTTGAATACTGTTCAGCAGAATCTCATTATTCTTCATGGTCGGGCTGAAAAGTTGCCATTTTGCGTTTTTTCGTTAACAGAAAAATGTCTTTCTAAAAATAGAATGTAAGCAGCCTGACACTAAACACAGGAATGTGCACAGGAAATCAGTTGTTTATCTGTCTGTTGAGAGTATACTTTATCACAAACAGTTTAATAACCACATGTTTATGGACATAGATGGCAAAATACACACACCACATACACATTAGCCTTTAGAGTATTAAAAACGTCTAAACAATGTTTAGATTAATCTCATGTACCATAAAGAATGGAGGACAGCGGTTTAGAGTTTGAGCGAGAGGGCAGTCCTACTAACTCCAGAGGTTTACTCTAGCAATGTGAGGACATCAGACATGAGTTTTGGGAAGAACACTGCTCCATCAGCAAAGTGTGAGGAAACTTAATCTGTGGTTTCTGAACTGGCCCGCAGGGTAGCTGTGTGTGCAGTTTGAGAGTGTGTGGCAGCTGGACTGTTGTAGAGAGGTGTGAGGTCAGGAAAAAATGCTCTGAGATTTGTGTTACAGTAGCCATTTGGACTGTCATTACCAGTTAAATAGGTGAATAGTTAGCTGACTGTAGTAGGGTTGTCACCAGTGTTGCCAGATTTAGTGTTTTTTGGCGCTTGTAGATTCCCTAAAATATGTCACATATATTTCACATGTGAAGTGTGCAAAAAACACGTGTTTACAAGAAATCACATGTGCCCCTTTTGTAGCTTACGATGCTGGTCATATTTATTTGCCTCAGTGATTGCATGGAATCATGAGTCTTATCATATACAATGTATTTAAAGTATGTAAGCACTTTGAGTTTTTGCCACAAAAGCAAACATCTACAAGTTATGGGAGTCAGATACACATACAATTCAAATAATTTAAATATCCTTTATTATTAATTTGAAATGATTTGTAGTTTCTTTGTCCTGGTGTTTCTCAGATGATGTTTACATAAAAAGATTTTGGTTCTTCGTACCAGTAACAATAAACAGGCATGATATCGGCAGTTAAAATGTCAGCATTTATTTAGTTTAAATGCTGTATTATTTAGTATTATGGTTAAAATGCAGACTCTTTCTAATACTTGTACTTTTTTGGGCAGCTTTTTGCATATCCTGTCTTCTATTTGGTTTTTTAGGCTTCTGAATGGCTGGCTCATGATTCCTGTTGTTAAGTATTATATTGATTATTCCACAAGTAATCAAGCAATCAAAACTTTAAAAAAGTCCAAATAATAACTATGTTGCAGAAATGCATACAAATAAGTGTGTCTACATCCTCTGTTTAGACTCTGCTTCTGATTTCTGCTTACCTAGAGAGCAGCAATGCACAAAACATGAATCTTTTCAAATCTATAATTAGAAATGTGTTCCTGTTGTTTTAACTGGTTTACTGAACACGTTGCCAAGTTTATGCTCCATCATGAGTGCAATAACTTAGCAGTAGGAAAACATTAAACTTGTCCAGTATTGATAACATGGTAAGTGATACCAGATGTATGTTTTTTAGGCACGTTTCAAAACGTATATTAATCCACTCTCTACATTTTCATTTCTCCAGTTAGTCTCAGCCCCTCAGCAGGGCTGTTCAATTTCAGAAATTCTGGAGTTAACTCTGATTCCGATTCCAAGTGATGGGAATTGATGGATTCCAAAAACTAAAACACAGAGAGGGACATCTGGCAAAAATAAAGAGTCAAAAATAAATTATCTTGGACCTTAGCAAGGAAATTTTGGGAAGAAGTGTACAGATGTTTGTACAGATGTTTGATTGTAAGCCATTTTTTCTTTAAAATTTTACATTTTACTTTATTTTATTTTACTTTTTACAAAGTAAAATACATTTGAACTACTGATGTGTGTTTTAGAAGAATGCATTTTTCAGACAAGCTGTCTAGACAGTAACAGCAGAATATCTCACAACCCATACACGCGCAAGCAAACCTAAACATCCCTGTGAGGAATCGAGCCCACAGTTCGAGTCAGCTCTCACTTTTGATGGCCTGGAATAAGGGAATTGATTCTTTTGAGATTGATTCCCTACCCTTAACCCTTGGCTACATTGACCAAACGAGTGAGTGAGGATGTGCTTGGCTTTATTAGTAGTCAAAACTAGAACCAAACATCTGAACAACTGTGCTTGGCTATTTCCCTTTGTGTAAACGCTGGTTAACTCTTGCTTACCACTAAATGTTTTACTTCAGTCTTTTAAAAAAATTGGGCAGGCTCGCAAAATTTTAGATGGGGACAGTTCTTAGGTTAAGTGTGCAGCCTCTAGATATATGGAAATGACATGGTGTGTTTATAGTCATGTAGGCTGTCACGTTAATCACTAGGAAATGATGACGTAGAATGCTATTGTTTTAGTAGTTGCATTAGTTATTTTATATCCCTCTTCTAAACTCCAATTTCTTAATTCTTATTTTTATGATGTATTTTCAACATTACAACTGCAATGCTTTGACAATTTCAGAGCCCATTTTCCCTTTAGTCCTGAACTCTGTGTTGATTTAGACCTCAAGGTTTTGTTTTTCTGTTAAAGAGGTGGGACTCACTTTTAAAATGAAATTAACGGCCATTTTACCTGGTTTTATGATAAACTGCTTTGTCTAAAAGCTCTGACCTGATTACATGAAAGATAAAAATGTTAAAGTCTTCATCAGCAAAACATATTAGCCTGGTTATGTGCACATCAGGCACAAGCTAACTTGAAGTCTTTTTCTGCTCACCTCCAGGATGGCAAGCTCCTCTCCATCCATCTGTATACGAAATGAGTAAAGGTGTTCAGGGCTGGGGTCTGGCAGGACCATACACCCTTCCAGAAGCACTGGCTGCTGGGCCAGCTTAGACTTTCCCTTGTCCTGGTAGAACAACAGCTGCCCGTTCTTTATCAGACACCAGCGCGTTCGCCACTGGCTGTTTACCAATACATTCAGATAGCCTGACAGAGAGAATGGAGGGCAGAGGTGTGAATGCACTGACAGTCTTGTCCAATACATAGAAAACATGTCAAAGAAAACCTATAGTATATCTGCACTGATTTACCTGATGTTTCCACACACTTCTCAGGGCTCTCCAAGGAGGACACCTTCTTTTTGCCAATGTTCATCAGATTACTCAGCATCAGGCCAGCACCATATTTCTTTTTAACTAAATGAAAATTGAAAATTAGCTCTTAAAATGGCCCTCCATAATCAGAAGTCTAGAAAAACAGAGGCATTAACTCTGTCTCACCATCTCTAGTCTCGACATTCTCAGCATGGCTGTCCGTGCTGCTGCCGCTCTCTGAGGCCACAGAGTATCTCTCGTTAAGCTCACCCTGCAGAGAAACAGAGTTAATATCATCACTCACATCACTGTTTCTTTCTGTGTGTTACAGTGCTTTTATCATGGTTAAGGGGTGTTAACTGTGGTGAAACCACTGTAATGTATGTCCTTCAGCAGTTTATTGTCGTTATAACGCAGCGACAAAATACACTATGATGAAACACACTCATGTTTAATAAATAATTTATTTATTCTTCACAACAATGTAAATAAACAAACAATTCACTACAAACAATTCTTTTATGAAACAATATAGTTTGTTACAAGAATCCTGTGGATGTCAAGCAACAGTTACAGATTCTTCCAAGAACAGCCCAATAGTTTTTTAACTTGGCGAATTAATACTGAATTCAATGTGTGAGGTCATATTTGTGTATGAAGTATTTAACAATGGCAAACCTGACTCAGCCAACCAGATTACAGAACTCAAACTATTTTTATTTTATTTTCCTTTTCTGTTTTATAATTGCATATTGCCTGGACGCACTGGTTTTTAGTTACTTATTTCCTGCAAAATAGTTCCTGACCTTTGTGTTTAGCTCATACCTTAGTACAGATGAGTCTGGGGGAATCAGAGATATCAGAGCCCTCTGCAGATTTGGGACTAATTTCCTGGATCACCTGTGTGGATAAACATTAGTAAATTATTACCTGTCTGAACTGAGGGCCACTGTTTGAGCACTTTTCTCAGCACTTTTCTCACAGCCTTACCTTCAGCCACTGTTCAGCCTGCTCTTTGCTCTGGAGGCCCAGCACGATGGCCTCCCCGCTCTGAGGGATGATCTTCAGCTTATGCTCTTTCCTTTTGGGCTGTTTCTCTTTGTAAATGACGCTGCAGCCCACCAGACTGATATCCAGCAGAGGAGTCTGGTCCTTTGAGCTTTTGTAGCACTGCATACATAACCAAATGCATGCAAACAATTGCTGACTCTGCTGTGTTAAACTACAGTACACCACCTTAGTGGCATGATTCAGGAGAACTGCATTTTGCATTTTCAGTGCAAAAATATTTAATGTATCTTCAGAATGAAAAGATCAGTTTATGAGAATGTATAACATGCTCTCAGTTAGTAAACTTTTGAACTAGTTCTGGGGCATCAGTGGCATTACTCAGCACCTAAAGATTAGATAACAGAATACCAATGACAGTATGTTTAGTACTGATAATTGTACATAGCATTCTTCCCTTTCTCTGTAACTGTATAGTCTGAGCATGGACAGTAGGACCATTAGTGGGTCAGTCAGAGGATGGGGAAGGGATGTCAGTGACACTGGCTCTGAGATCACCTACCAGGAGACGGTTCTCTCGGATGACGCACAGCTGTTTGGCCCACTGGCCCAGCCACTTCTTCCTCCAGAGGAAAGCGCAGATCCGAGCATCCTTCATCAGCTCGATAGATGCCTCTGTGGATGGCCACTGGTGCTGTGCTGTGGATGGTTGGCCCTTTGGTACCTCATCCTCATCATAAGACTCATAAGAGCTGCTCACTGCATCAGCATCATCTATGGAGGAAAGTCAGTGAAGTCAGTGATACCTGATAAGGAGGGCGTGAAGTAAGAGAGGGAAAGTGGAAAAGGGTTTTGGAGTGATTGAGAAAGGCCTTGATGCAGGGTTGAATATGAATTCCTTTTTTTACTTTTCTATTAAGTACACTTTAATAGAAACAAATCAGTAACACCTGAACTGTGCTACATAATATTGACATAAACATGTTATAGAAGATGTCATATTTTCTCTATCATGAGTTGTCAAATTACGTCCAGTAATATAAGTGTCATGTTACGATTACTAAGAATTGTTATAACAGATGTCATAATGTTTGACATCATGACAGCTAATTAGAGTATGAGTAGCAAAAATTAGCATGTGACACAAGCTCTCAAACATCTGTCATGACAATTAGCAGCAACAGTAACATGACACTGTTATATTACTAAATGAAATCATATGATAACTTCCATGACATGTTTATGTCATCTTCTTAATGTTCAAAGTTTAGTGCTAAAATTCCAAGTTAACGGGAATATTCTTTTTCTTTGTAACCACGGTCCAGTGCAAATAGTAGTGTGCATAGGTATCCAAACATTTTTAACCATTCCAGGTTATTCCAATGTTAAAATCACTATTCCAGTATTTGTTATGGTGCATCATGGGATGTCAGGGAAACACTATATAGGCCATATAATAAGGTCAGTATCATGCAGATTTTATGTTCTTATAATTTAATAGCCAATGTTACACACCAGCTCACATGTATCACAAGTAAGAACTACATATGTCCTGCAACAAGGTTATATCATACAGGCCATGATTATTTTGCTCATAATGAACAAACCTAAACTGTTGTGGTGATGTACAAGTTTGTGTAAGACAAAGGTCATGTGAGGGTGCATTTATATTAGCAGTTCCCTTGGTCCAGACCAAAGTAGAAAATGATGCAATGTTACATTTTAATTTTTCCTCTTTTGTTCACACTGACATATGTGACATTGCATTCAAAGATGCAAAAAGCCATGCAGACAAAAGATCAACTGATTGGGCAGATACAATATATGGCCAAAAGTTTGTGGACACCTGCTCATCCAATAGCCCTTACTCTGGGCAAGTTTTATACTAGTTGTTGGAAAATTGCCATGAAGATTTAATTACATCCAGGCAAAAGAGCATTAGTGAGGTCATATATAATACAATTACTGTGTACAGTAGTATGTGTATATCAAGTATTTTATAATGGCTTTGAACAGTTGGAGTTAATTTTTTGCCAAAAGTTTCAAATAAAATAATAAAAAATACATTGGAATGAGTAAAAATGAACAGTATTATTTTTGAAAATATAAGTTTGACTTAACTACATCTATTATCTACAATAAATACAATATTGGAAATATAATTCTATAATTACCAATTCAGAGCTCATGAGGAGATGATAAGCACATGTATGTATCCAAACAGCGTCTGTTTATTTTGTGTTTGGTCAGTATAGATGCCTTCGGTCCACATCAGAGTTCATTTGGAACTGCACCAAGACTGACAGACCTCCTCAAAAGGTTTCAGTCTGCTTATTTGGTATGCACCATGGTTTGAATGACAGTGTTCTCCCTTGTACTAATAAATTGTATAAACAGAGAGATTGTACCAGGGTTCTTTTTAATTGAAACAAACCACCAAAGTTTGAACACACCGTATTCTTGTTTGCATTTTTTCCCTTTTCCTGAGGTCAACCAAATATCTGTTCCTTCGTGTTTACAAATACTCGAATATGTACAAATACTAAAAAAATATGCACTACCCTTAAAAGTAGTGTCTATAGTGAAATTTGAGATGGTTAGATATGGTGAGATATTAGAGAGGAGGTAGAAAAGAGGACAGACATTTGCAGGACATGCAGACTGATGGAAAGAGAAGATAATAAAACCTGATTATCTTTGGCATGCTTCATAAGCAAGCACATGCAAAATCAGGTGCTATGAGTTGATCACTGGCATCGCAGTACAGCAGAACCACCATAAACATCCTTTACCCTGGCCCATGCACATCTCCGGTTAGTTCTAAGTATTATTATTATTGACCATTATTCTCCCCTCATGCAGAGAAAAATAGATACCCTGATTGATCACAGCATAGACCACACTGTCAGAGTTCTCTACTCGATTCCTGGCCCCTGTGATGATACCCAAACATCCAAAGCCTCCAGAAACAGAGGGAGAGAAAAGATAATAGAGGCATAAAGAGGGTATTGAAACTACATGATACAGCCTACTGTGTCATACAACAGAAACAAAAAGAACACGTGAAGTCGTTTTAGGTTGGGTAAATTTGTAACAGTGAAAACTGCTCCATTTGTAGAACCTAGAGTTATATTTTAGGGTCACTGACAGCACAGGGTAAAACCATCAATGGCATTGAGAAGAGGCCGCACACAAACCAATGCGTATGTGCTCGTTTTACATGTTGCTTAATTTGTTTTACTGGAGTGTTGAATGTTCTGCTTATTAGGTAAACCAGACACAATGTAAATAATAACGGGGGTGTTTTACATATAAAAGCTAGTGTCTGGCCTGCCTTGAAATTTTGAGTTACTTGAACTTCAAATAAGAAGTTGATAAAGCATAAAACACAGATTCTTTTTTCCGTTAACTTGCTATTCAAGATTTAATTGACTCAGAATTTTAAGATAACTCGAGCACTAACTTTTTAAAGTTAAAACAGTTTTTTTTTACAGTATAGAATGATTAAAAATGATAAATTTCAGTGTTTCAGTGGATAAATTTCTACAGGTCTGATAAAAATACATTTAACAGACTATTCTTGGGAACTAACCAGAGCAAATTGTGGTGATTTGGTATTAATTATTTTACTTGTAGCTCATTGAAATAAACAGTTCAATTCTTTTAAAATTGCAGATTCTACACTATCAATCAAAACCATATTTGTATTACAAGTAGAAGAGATATGTTACTTGATTTGAATCAAAAAAGTTACTATAGTGCTTAGTCCTGTTTTGTAGACAGAAGAAACTGTCCTTAACATCTTTCCCACCTGTTTCTTATTTGCTGTCGCCAAAGCAAAAGTAAAAAAAAGTTGGAAATGTCATCTTCAAAGGGTTAAGTGAAGATTTTACATTGTTTGGAGTTCCAGCAGATAGAATTCTTATTAATAATCTATTTCAATGTTGAATAACACAGCTGCTTGATAAAGTCATTGTGTCCTCTGCACATTTGTTGAAGATATAAATCATCCCCTCGTTGCTCTATCCACCCCAGGCCCTGCTTCAGCTGCCCCCATTTCCTGGGCTCACGGTCAATGTTCCGTCGCTGTTTCCAGTGCCAGAGGACCCGCTGCAGCTGAACAAAGAGCATCACTGTTCTGTTCTTCTTAGCCACAGGGTCCTCTGTGTCAAGGCACTGTTTGGAGGGGAACCGTCCAAAAAGCTGCAGCCCAAATTTGGAAATGGTAGTTTTCAATTACATTAGCTAGAATTTGGTGGCTGTAGCTAAGTGAGCTAAATCAGGACACTGAATGAACAATGACTCTGCTCGTTTGTTGGAAGGACTGACTGCCTTCAAGAACTACAAAAACTGAAGGTCACAAACTGGTTGAGCAGACCATGCAAATTGAATTGACATTAATTAATGAAGATCAACAAACAAGGTGAGTTATTTTTCTATTACGGCTATTTTCCAATTATCTTTTGCTAAAAGGTTTTTGGGGTCTTACAGATTTTGTAATACATCATCTGCTAAAGCTGCAATATGTAGGAAGAAAACACACTAAAATATGATGCCTGTGCTGCTAACAGTCACACTGTAAAGCCTGAAATAATTATATAGAAGTCAGAGGCATCAGGTTGGACTTCAGACCACATCACATATCATTATGAATTAATGACATGTCACAAGCTCAAAAAGAAGATCTGACTCAATGTATAGGTCTCAAATGCAAAAGCAACATTATACTGATGAAGATATGATGACAATAGTAGACAATTCACTTACATCCTTGAAAGGCATGTTTGGACTGAGTTCTCTTTGAATACTTTTTCAACACACTTCATCAGATTCATCCACTCAAGGTCCAAAACACAACTGACATTATGTTGTATGCAATTACAAATTTTCACCAGAGATGTCTCCAAATCCCCAAATATCACATGGTGTAGCTTTAATGAGAACTGTCCCAGAGCAGAGCTTACCGTTGATGGTTGAATCATAGGGCTGAGCCTCTTCATAGTAACCCTCGGGAGAATCTAGACAAGCTGGAGCTGGTGGAAGAGGAAAGGGCTCCCTTGTGACTATAGGCTAAAGAGTGTGAGAGAGAGAAAGAGAGAGAGGGGGGGAGAGAGAGAGAGAGAGAGAGAGAGAGAGAGAGAGAGAGAGATTAATAATGACAGCTTCTTAATAAAGAGTTCTGTTGCACATTTGATGCTTGAACCACAGACAAACCCAAACTGCATATTGTTTTAAGACATGTAAAATCTCTTCTCTAAAATGGAAATTTTGTAAGTAAAAAGGGAAAATGTTCTTAACTTTGATAGATTAATGTAATGAGATCTCAGAGCATTTCTGGTCGATGAAATTTTCACACAATGTAAAAGGCAGCTGGTGTTTTCGAATGCTGTAAAAATGATGTTACGAGGAGTTGTTAGGTTCTGATATGACAGTGATGATTTGAGCTGAACCCTTCTGCTCATATGCAGTAAATAAGACTCAGAGGTTCTTCGTTTGTGCACCTGCCTTGTCTCTGGGCTCTTCTCTATTAGGGGGAATTCCTCTACCCTGAATCTGAGCTCCTTCTGACCTCAGCCCTGCACAGCTCAGACAGGAATTCCACACGTGTTTGCCTGCAGGAGTAATGTTTTTTGTTGGGTGTGGAGTGGCCTGGTGGGTTTCCCAAATCAGTCAACTCAAAACATCTCTAAATCCTTACATCTGATACACCATCACACAGTGATGCCTGCCCCAAGGCAAGAAACATAGCATTGAGCCTTCACTATATTAACCACCCACCCACACAGACACAGAGAAAACAGGGTCCTGGATGGCTTGTGAACCAGGATGTTGATTTATGTTGATTCATCATGAGAGATTACTGATGGACCATTCAGAGAGACTCTCCTTACACTTGATTGAAACCTCATGCTTCCATCTGCTGCTGAGTTTACATGCCTGTTTGGTGAAGCTGATTCAGCTAATGGGTCAGCAAGGTTAACTGGCAGAATAAGTGTCCAGTTTAAAACAAAGACAAGGGAGTGTTCGTAAACAACTGGGCTCAGAGCCTTGGTGGAGACACAGGATGTTGTAACTAAAAGTGAAAGTTAGCTGTGGGCTTTACTGTAAAAGGACAAAATTCAGCCTTCATGATGGCTGCTAATGCTGTTTTTAGCTATGCGACATATTTTGTGAGTTATTATGAATAAGAGTACAAACCACATAGGCAACTGTATTTGAGATTACTTAATAACTTCACATGGTATAAGGTTTGCTAATTGGTACATGCTTCTATAGCTTGTTATTCTCATTAATAATAACAAAATTTGGACATTGGTGTTGGCTGACTATATATGGAGTAAGATGTTTTTGCTGAACTACAAGCCAAAAGAGAAGGGCATGCACGGGAGGGGAAAAAGAAAAGAGACAGTCCTGGAAAATAAGGGATTGGTGGGAAAAAGAGCAGCCCCACATATAGCGCACACTAGCTAAGGAGGGCCTCAACTGAACTAAATGGAAACTATTTTTCTCACACGCTCTCATAACTCTACACCCCCCAGCTCCCTCTTTTTCTCCCTCACCCTGTGACACTCTAACAGGCAGAAAAAACTCTGGGAGGTAAGAAAAGCAGCTTCTGAGTGCTTGTGCATCTGCCAGTGATTAAAAAGAAAGAAGGAGCGATTGCTTCCTCCCTCTCAAACTGATTATCAGCACTGCTTCGGACACAGCCAAAGGTCACAACCTAGAGCCCAGGCACAGTCCAGCTGTTCCACAGAAACAGCAGAACTGCTGTTGCTTATGTTAGTAATTGTGTGTGTGTGTTTGACAAGAGAACACACACTGTAAGTGACGTATCCCGCACAGATTCTCATCTGCGATCTTATTCCTCTTGACTTTATTCAAACAATCAGCCCCCCCATTCTCTCATCACCACGGAAACCCATTCTGAGGAGGAAGCAGATCAGGAGGCAGGCATAAATAAGAAAAGAGCGCCAGTCTTTAAGAAAGAAAAAAGAAAAAAAAAGACAAGTGGGAGAGGGACCAAATGAACACCCAGAACATGGAAAATCCCTGGTTCCCATGCCAAGAATCCAGCTCAGTGAAAACACAGGCCGGCCTGGGCCCAAACACTGCTGGGGAAGAGAGGGTAAGAGGGGAAAATAATCAGCACTGTTAACAGACTTATTAACCACTGACATGCTCTCTGCTCTCCCATCAGCACCTCCTGGTCCTCTTCTGAACTCACTCTGACCTACTGGAGGCCCTGAAATAGGCTTTTGACTTGATTACATGTTTGTATGTAGTGCAGTGCTCTAATTAATGTCATGCTTGTATTTTATCATATGCTTCTCTGATAAACACTAACACTAAATTACTTAAAACAAAATACATGTGATTGATTATAAAAGTAGTTACTGATAGCAATGTGGAGTTAATTAATAGCAGTTTGTTCTGCTGTCAAAATCAGCTTATTCAACTCAGTTACATAACTGATTAAAATGATCAATGAATAAACAGCGATTAACTGGCAATTTGCATGATGGTAATACATGTTTTAGTTTCTCTAACTAGTCTCTTTTACAGTCAGAAAGAGCCTTATGGACATCCATTAACATGCTGTCTAACCCTAACCTTCCTGTTTTATCTTTTCCAATAAAGTACAATACTGTGTAAAAGCCAGATATCACCCTCCATTTACTTAATTTCCAGTCAAAAATGGTCAGTATGTACAAGTTATTCATTTTTCAGTATCAGTAAAAAAATTTGAAATCATATATTTAACAGAAAATACACAGAAGCCTCAGCAACTAAAAAAAAGTTCAGTCCTAGAAGTTGGTTGCATTTTCTGCTTCTTATGATTCATGTAATCCCAATTACAAATTTGGTCTCAGCAGTCCATAAAAACTTACTCCAGTCCAGTTCGGTGTCCAGTTCGTTGTTCTAGTACAAATGTCCTTCTTTTTGGCTACTTTCTTTTCTCAGTAACAGCTTCTTGACAGCTACACATCTGTTCAGACCTATAACATCGAGTTTTCACAGTGGATTTGTTAGATCTGAGGCAAGAGTGGAGCTTGATTTTCTCCTCTCTCTCAAAAATGAAAGCTTTAAATACTGTTCATCTGACAGTGACAGTTTTGGGGGTCTACCAGGCCTTGCAGGGTTGTTAGGTGTCCCATTTTCTCTATATCTTTTCAAACTCCTGTTTTTTCACTTATGTTCCTTTGACTTTTCCCTTCCGTACGCAAGTGGATTATCTTATTTCTAATCTCCTTCTCAATGAAGGGTCTCTGACTTTTGCACAATACTATATTTTGGAATCTTGGCATGGTTAATAATAATCAGTAGATTACTCCATTGACTAATATAATTTATAGTGTTGAACAACAGTTTGAACAAAACTGAATCAAGCCTAATCTTGGGCTAAATTCCAATGAAGGTGATGAATCTTTAAAACCCTTTCTTAGTCTGAGCACAGTCTTAATCTGCGTTTGAGATTTGACTTTTCCTGTCAGTACAGAATCCAGCACACTCCCTTTCCTATCTGACGCCGGTGACCGGCCCTGTTGCTATCTTTAGGGTTGCTCTATTTTCAGTAACGGGAGAGGAGTGTGTCTGTGACATGACAGTACCGCTGACACACTTATGTTTAGCGTCAAGCCTGGACAAAAACAATAATTAGTTGGACCTCCTTTCAGGCCGCATGGTTAGAGCAGATGACATACTAGGTGGGGAGAGGCAAGTTGGAGGTGTTATGGAGCCGCCAAGCAGCCTGGAGTTGGACAGGAGTCCTATGGCCCAGTTGGGAGCGTCCAGGATGGAAGAGGGACAGGGGCTGGCAGATTCTTTGAGAGTGCGGGTAGAAAGCAGCGTGTTTACTGTGGATAGAGCTTTGCTGAGGCAGAATTCAGAGTACTTCCGTGCTCTGTTCCGCTCTAAGATGAGGGAGAGCCAACAGGATGAGCTCCATTTGCAGGGGGGTCTGAAGGCAAGAGGTTTCCTCATTGCTCTGGCTGTCTCCAGAGGTGAACAGCCAAGTATCAGGGACCCTGATGAGATTGTGGAAGCTGCAGAGTGTGCCGCCTTTCTTCAAGTGGATGCCTTGAGCCAGTACCTCACAGACATCCTGGACACAGAAAACTGCTTCCTTCTCTACCATACGGCAGCCGTGTTCGGCCTGTGGAGGTTGTTCCATAGCGCAGCCACGTTCATACGCGATGCTTTCCACGACCTGCAAGAGGCAGCAAACTTTCTGCCAGACGAGATGCTTTGCTACGTGGAGTCTCTCTCACCTGCTTCTTTCATTGCTTTAGGGACCCACTCACCTTCTATGAAGATTCTGCAGGATGCCTTCAGAACAGTGTGGTTCCTAAATGAGGAGCAGGGAACCTGGAGATACCTCACCGACCTGCCCACTGATGCTAGTACCTCCATGGCTGGGGTGGCTGTGGTAGAGAACCGGCTGTATGTGGTGGGAGGCGTGCGAGGGATTAGCAAAGAGACAGTGGACTTCAGCTTCTGCTACGATGTAGAAAGCAACACCTGGAGCACGTTTGATGGGCCTCAGCAGCCCAGATATAACTTCAGCCTTGTAGGTCATGAAGGACGTCTGTATGCCTTTGGTGGTGAGTATGACAAGAGGATCATATCTTCTTCAGAAGTGTGTGACGTCTCCACCCGTGAGTGGACTACTGTGAAGCACGCGCCCCGTCCTGTAGCAGGGGCAGCGAGCGCAGTGGCACGGAGAAGGATCTTCATATGTTTCTGGAAGCCTCCTGACACTACAGATATCTACGAATATGTTCCAGTCAAGGACGAATGGATCCTGACCACTACTATGATACGGCCTCAGAGTTACGGCCACTGTATGGTGGCGCATGGTGAAAAGCTTTATGTGATGAGGAACGGCCCTTGCGATGACTTCCTGAGGTGCCTCATGGACTGCTACAATATCACCACGGGTCAGTGGATGTCCATCCCGGGACACTATGTCAACAGCCGGGGGGCGCTCTTCACGGCTATGGTGAGAGGGGACTCGGTGTTCACAGTGAACCACAATCTGACTCTGGAGTACCTGATCTGTGGGGATAAGTGGAAACCCCAAAGGCAGATGAAAGGTTTCCCAAAGCATGGATCACTCTGGACCTGCATGCTCAGGTTACCCAAGATTATAGATACAGAAGAAATAAACAGTACAGATGAATCACTGGAGACTGATACTGATGATCAAAATGAAGAAGAGAATGTGGAAATTAACAAAGCACCGTAAAGTAATTAGCTCTTGATAAAACCTCTGCATACGCACAATACAGTTTGTTACTGGTTAAAATACTATTGACTTCCAAGGTACAGCAAAAAATTGCAATATGTAAATAAGCAATGTGCTTTTGAGAAACCACACTGTCTTTAAATGTTCCAAATAAGTGAGTGTTTGGTTAAATCAAAGCATTCACATGATCTAACATGGTATGGTATTTTGTCCATATTGTTCAGCTCTGCTATACATAGGAAAATAAAGGACAGAAAAATACTGCATCTGCTGTGCTGTATTACAGAATATTTCATATGTCTGAAGAAGCTTTTTAGTATTGTACACCCCAAAGCCAGGGGTGGACAAACAACAATACTTCTGTATATTACTAGTACAAGTATTTTATCTATATTTCTACTTGAGTAAATGTACAAAATTACTTTCTAAATGTACTTAAGTATCAAAAGTAAAGGTACTATGACTTATTTTAGATCTTGTATAACATTACTTTGGTTAACATGTTCTATTAAGGAGACCTGTGCGACTCTTGACATGACACTTGTTCATGTCTTTAGCCACACAGGCCTAATAGAACCTGTTTATCAAAGCATTGTTATAATTACTTATATTACTGATACTATAATTACTGATATTCAAGTACATTCATAAGCAAGTACTTTTATACTGTTTCTCAAGTAGAAATATAGAAAGAATATTTATGCTTATATTTTACCAGGATAACATCTATTTGTACTTACATATAGAAGTATTGTACATTACTATGGTGCAATACTGTTACTGTCAGTGTTATTATTACTTACTATTGTACTATTAAGCCTGAAATATGAATCAGACATATTAGAGCAGGTTAAATGCTGCTAGTATGGCCTTCCAAGACTAGAGCTGGGTACCTCTGGTCTGAATAAGAACACTGTTATTTTCCCACTCAGATACATGAACGACACGTCTACACACCAGAGGTGTCTCCCAAATTGCTGCTGCAGCTGTTGTTAATCACCGGCTGCACCCTGTGGATCTGTGGATGGGTCTGGAGTTCAAAGCCTTCTCACTGGGCTCCACTAATTCTCTCCATCCTCCTGTCTGTCTATGCACCCCACTACAGACCCCCACAGAACACTGGAGCAACTACAGGGGCTACTCTCAGTCAACACACTCCACACACACACACACACACACACACACACACACACACACAAGCACACTTTAAGAAATGCTCACACATCACACTTCAGATGGGGATTAATACCTTGGGTCTGAAGGTGATTACAGCATCTATAAAAACAGAATTTATTAGGGATTTTGGAGCTGCTAATAGTGGGAATTTACGGTCATTCATAGGGTCTGTAAAACACAGACATGGCTGTTTTACTAAGCGTGAGAAATACACTTATTTGGCTACCTCCAAAGCTGAAACCCACATTAAACAAACAGCAGATAACACGGGCACGAGTCCGAAAACAGCATCTGCACTGTACTGAATGACAGAACCAGTGTGAATTCAGACAAACACAGGTGGTCAGTACTACACAGCATAAAATCTGAACTATATGCTGCATTTAAATGACAAATTAAGGCAAGACATTACAGGCAGAAATTATGGTTTTGGTCCTATCAATCATTTTTTTAGATTTTAAAAATGTCAAAACTAAAGAGAAGTGTGTTTATCAGCATGTTTAGTCAATTCAAGTCCACTCAAATATTTCCTAAAAGTTAGCAACTTTAACGAAGGATCAGCTCCTCCATTCTTGACTCAACCATGCTGTGTCAAATATCACTGAAAAGCGTCCTGAAAAGTTTCCTGCAGAATCTAAAAATAACATCCAAATATGTCTATTTCCATTGTACTAAACACAACATTCACACAAATAGTGCATGTATAATGGTAAGGAGTAATGCAGTTCTGAGGCCCAGTCTTGAAAAAGGCTTAAAATTCAGCTTTTCTCTACATTTAGAACCAAAAATCTCAGCTTCTAAAATAAAAAAATAAAATACTTGCATTCATTTTATTGTTTTTAAAAATTACATTGCACACTCTATGCACAGCTAAAACAATGTCTCTGGGAAGGCTGTACAGGTGTATGTGACTGGTAATAGAGTCATATTAATCACACTTAATCTGCATATTTACATATTTACTTTTCTCCCCTTATTTTACCAATGAAAGGACAGTTAAGTCAAACTAACTCTTTCTAACATACTATATCCAGACAGTAGTAGGTTGAGTTTGGCTTAGGTGTGTCTGTGTGTCCATACATTTGTTCCAATTTCTGTTGTGATGATGATTGTTGTTTGTAAAGATTACTGAATTATATGTGACAGTTGTAATGAAGCTGGTAATCACTCACTGTTCTGGGCGGAGGCAGCTCAGGAAGACTCTTCTGTGGGGCAGAGATGTGCTTTCCTGCTCTTCCATTGGCCTCTGCTTCCGGTCTGTTGTCTGATTAGCATGTATTCCACATACAGCCGGATAAGAGAGAAGAGAAGAAAATAAGTAAACCGAGTGTCTTATAGAGACTTCTTGTCTACATATATATATATATATATATATATATATATATATATATATATATATATATATATATATATATATATTGAAAAGTCCCCCTAACTTTTTACAAGAAAAATATTAGAATTTTTCTACAGGTTAGGCAGGATTTGTAATTGCTCATTTTTATTGTATGGCCTTTTTAAAAAGTTGATTTATCATCAAAATAAATGGTAGATGACTACAAAAATCGACATTGGCAGCCCTAATGTAGATGATATAAAGACGAGCAGTGCCTAAACGTTTTCATTCCCACAGTACATATACAGAATGTATGTTTTATCTGCTTTGTTATGAGAGGGAGAAAGGGAGAGTGCGAAAGAACACTGCAAAAGTCTGTATAGGCTGCAAGTCATCTCCTCTTAATTTACACAGTCTGTGGCAGTATTTTAAGAGCCACTGGCCATACTCAAGCACTTCCTATCAGACATTCCTCTCTGACTTCCTCTCCAAACGCTAACATCTGGGTTGCTATGGGATGAACACCACTCAAAGCAAAAGGCTGGAAGTCAGGGTGATGGCAGGCGTCTTTTTCTTGGGATTTTAGCTTCTACTAAGTTACGCCTTCTATTTCTCTGTAAGTCTGACTGTGTTTCTTTACTGGACTTCACGTCATACAGTACCCCATCCGTGTTAGTTATCACTGATTCATCATAGATAATAACACTAATACTGAGTAAATATTTGCACAAGCGGGAAATATGATTAAAGGTATGTTACACATCATCAGCACTTTTTAAATGGTTCTGAAGCTCAAAAAGCATCTCTGCTCTAAAGCGTCTTTCTCTTTATTTCTTTTCAATGTGCTGCTCTTTAAAAGGGGAGATTTTCTTGCACAATAGCAAGAGCTATTAATCTGGCTGATCAAAGAGCACTATCTCATCTGATCCACGCATACGTCTTGTGGCTTAGACAGCCGTAATGTGAATGTTAAGTCTAGTTTTCTAGAGTCTCATTCTTCAGTGAAATCTAAACAAAGCAGCTTGGCCTCAGATGGGGGTCTGGCTGTGAGAGGCTGAGAGGAGTTATTGAGAAACAGACAGGAAATAGTGGTGGTGAAGGCTTGGGGGCTGAAGGTGGGGGCTGCAACACTTATGCCACAACCTTTCACCTTGCTGAAAATGACATAGGCCACTCAGCAAGCTCTGTGGAAACAATGTTTGTTTAATCTGCAGCAAAACATGCACAAAAAACCAAACCACAACTCTGTGGGTTTATCCCACTGCCTTATTTGCATTAGACCATTTTCCTGTCAGGGACCCAGAACTGCAGTTGTTCTGTGATATTAATTACAGCTAAGGTGCTGAATAATTCACTCACCTCTGTCTGTTTTGTCCTGGTTCTGTCCAGTGACAATGACTTTGTTCATATAGATGTATTCTTCATCTCCTCCTGAAAGACAGCAGGAATAAAGAGACCGTAGACTCCAGCACAAAAAATAAACATTTTTGAGACCCTTAAGTTACCAATTTCCAGTCAAAATGGACACTAAATAAAAGTTATTGCTTTTCAGGATTAGATCAGGTAGAAGATAGTCTGCTTGTATAAATAAGGGGAAAGTCAGAGGAAAATTAGTAAAACAACAGAGTTTCCAAAACTGGAGCTCAAAAATTACTAAAAGATGCAGAAAAAAATTTGAATTCTACACATCTGTGCAAGACCTGGTAGACCACCATAGTGTCACCATCAGATAAACAGTAGATAAAGTTTTACTCTTTGAGAAAGGATGTGTAGCTGTCAAGCCATTACAGAGAAAAGGAAATAGACCAAGAAGATAAAAGTTTGGAAATTAAACAAATAAGATGCGGGTGTTCTCAGAACAATGGACTGTCCGCCCCAGAGTCCACTGAATGTGTTTGGGATTACTTGGATTTTTAAGGAGCAGAAAATACAACCAACTTTGACTGAACTTTGGAAGCTGTCCTGAAAATAATGGAGGCTGTAATAAAAGAAACATACTAAATAGAAAACTTTGAAAACTTTGACATTACATTTAGTTGTTGAGGCTTGTTTTGTTGCCTAAAAACAAACAAACAAATAAATAGCAAAAGTATCTTTGAAACTTTAAAAGGCTGTGCATGGTTTGTCATTGTTCAGTATAAGTCCATTTTTATTGTTTGGCCTTCAAATCAGATTATTCAATTTATTGTTAAAATAATCTATAAATTAGTTGAATACTAAAATAAACAATTGTAAAAGCCTTAATATATGCATCTTGTATCGAGAGACATCAAAACTTTTCAAAGGGACCTCCTCTTCTACCATTCATTTTATATTTACAATATCAGATGTTTTTTTTCATTCACATCTTCCAGCGTACAGTAGATTATTGTCAGCGAGAGAAACAGACACAGTTCTGTTCTGTGACTGAGCCTGACAGCACCTCCAGGGCCTCCACCCACTATACACATCAAAGCTAGGCCAGTGGGGAACACGAGGGGTCATATTCTATCACAATAAAAATGCTGCTACAATCTCAGCCTGCAGGAGTCTGCCTTATTGGCTGAGTTTGAAGGCACAGTCACAGAGTATTCAGAGTTTTAAGAGTTTCATAACAATTCTATGAAACTGTATACAGCATAATGGGGAAGATGTTACAATCTACAATAATGTGGAGTCTGGCAGGCTACAGCTAACCAAGAAGATATAGAAGTGTCAAATGTGGGTCATTCGGCTTTGATATGGTTATGAAGGGAGAAATAACAGCACACTAAAAACTTAAATATGTTTTACGGGTACAGTGAAAACAGATCGGGATTTAGAGGATGGAAATGAAGGCTATTTATAAGCTGCTTCTCAAAGGAAGTGAGTGTCCCTGGAGGATAAAAACAGCCTTGGAAAATGATACAGTTTGGAGCCAGAGAAGGAAGTACAGAAGCCCAAGTCCAGAACACAGAACCCTACTGCCATGTCTGTACAAAAAACACATATGCAACAAAAACTACTTAGCTTTTCATTGAAAGGAACTGCTACCCACAACATAGGGCACATGACAACTTTTCACAAAACAATTGCTCTCTAAGAAGGAAAACAGTGGTCCTGAATAAAGAACAGTGTATGGTATGTGATAACTGAAGTGCAATTATGTAGTACAGAAGAGGTTTGGGCATATCCTGTTGTTGGCTGTGTTGGTGTGGTTTACCATTTGAGGACTTGTAAGACTGCAGCAGGTCAGTGAGCAGGTTCTTCTTCACAGTGGCATTCCCGCTCAGGTACTCTCCATCCAGAAGCTTCAGAAAATGCTGCAGCTCCTCTAACAGCCGCTCCAGCACTGCATGAACACAGAAAACAGGCAAAGCACAGGATGACACTGGATGCCAGCACACTTTATAGTGAAATAAGTTCAAATATAAACAGGTGCTGTAGAAAAATACAGAGTTAGGCAATAACTGAATTGTGGAAGAGAGACCATGTCTAAAACTTTGGTTTATCTTGGTTAAAGTCCTTGCCACTACCATTCTAAGCGATGGGTTTTTATACCCTGGCACCTCCCTTGTCTGTCTCTTCATACTGCAAGACTCCCACACTTCATTCCTGGATCTTCAGCAAGGGGGTCCGGCTTTGTAGCATGAAGCAGCAGCTGCCCAGATCCAGTCTTAGTTAGAAAATGAAATTTTGCTTCATTCTAAGGAACTGTGGTACAGTTCCACAGTTGATTAGCTGAAAAACTCTCTACTGTTGGCAGTTTTAGTTGGCATTAAGTAAAAGATAATTGTCTTATTTGCATCTTCCAGGAACCTTTTAAACTGCTCTGAGACCATCAGTAAGATGTTGTCCTGGAGAGTTACCTTCCTGTAGAGTTTAGGTCCAATCTGTACCCAATAAGCTGCCCCACCCCTGACTTAACTCTCGTGCATCTGATGCAGCCAATCAGGGACTTCGGAAGAGGTCAATTACCTGGAGCAGGAAGGTAGCTCTGCAGGACCAGGGTTGGAGACCATTGTGCTAGACGCTTTCACCTCTTTTAAAGTCTTACTTTGTCCTGCAACAGTGATGATATACAGATTTGGCTGCTCACATAGCATTTTCAGATAACAGCCCACTTGAGTAGGCCATCATAACTTGTTACAGGCCACAAGATAATTTATTATTTTCTTTTCAGTCGCTTGTCATTCTGCTCCTGTCATTCTACAGCAGGGGTGTCCGATCTCTTCCATAAAGGGCTGGTGTAACTGCAGGTTTTTGTTGCAACAAACCAAGAGAACACATGATCAGTTGTTTAAAGACTGAGACTGACTGATCAAACGGATGGAATCAGGTGTGCTCTTCTTGTTTGGAACGAAAACCTGCACCCACATCGGCCCTTTGCAGATAAGATTGCACACCCCTGTTCTACAGCTTCAGGTATTCTACGAGACTTCTTTCGTTTGGCATCCAATCACATGTCCAGGGTCTTTGTCTTGTGTTGCACTGTGTTGTGTTATGTCTCTGAAGCTGGGAGGGATGTAGACTGGGGGTGAGCTGTAGGTCAGAAGCCATGGCTGCTGAATGGCTCTGCTTTGTCGCCCAGTCTATGAGTGCATCCCACTCAGATCCTCCAGGGGTCAGCGCCGAGCCGGCCCACCAGGCCCACTCGGCCCTGGCTATGAAGCTTCTCTTTGTGCCACTTTTATTGTTATGAATAACTCTGCTTTATGCCTGAACTCAACGTATTCTACAAAAGAAAGAAACGAAAGTAGGCCAGCTTGTCACGAGGTAATCACACCCAAACACTAAAGAAGGCCATAAACCTTTCAAGTATATGATCTTAAACCGATTAACATCACATTCTGAACGCTCCCCAAACAGAGTGTATAGTATGGTCTTCCTTTAGGAAACAGCATGGCGAATGTTATTCTAGAACTTCCTAATGGTCACTTTCACACTCCTGTAAATATTTCATCTGTTTGCCAGCCACTGCTGCCTGCTGACAATCAGAACTTCTTCAGGGAGGATCACAGACACTTCAAAGAGTTCAGAGACACTTTTCTGCAGTGTAAGGGAAAGAGAACTGTGGAAGCTTTGCCTTCAGGACAGACTGAGCCCAGTTTTTACAGAGCTCCACTATATCCTCATCTCACTGCTGAGTCAGCCGACAGAGAACATAAGAAACCATGTGTCATTACTTTAGAAACCCACACCACATGTTATTGCTGTAGCGTATTCACATAAGAATTATTTACCATGCATTAGGAAGATGTTTGCTTTAGCTAAAAATGATGGAAATGCTGTTATTAGTTGGCCCAATTCAAAGCTGGAAATCTAAGTTAATGCCAGTAATTTAAGGCAGAAGCGTTTTACTGGAAAACATGGTGCTAAGGCAGAGGTAATTACCTTTGTCATTAAGGAGGTCTTAATTACTGTTACTCAGTTCAAAACATGCTCATGGAGGTCTGCTGTATTCTGGGTCAGTCCCAGTCAAGAAGGACCACCCTGCCCAAGTCAACATATGCCAAACTTTCAATATCGAGCAGGTATTACAGTAAAACAAGGTTATATTTAGTTAAAATGGAACATACTTTACATTGTTTTTCATGCTGGGTTAAAATGAATTAGCCAAATTAAATATAATTAAGTCAGTAACATGAACACCCAAATATTTTCTATTATTAAGTTATAATTTGTTTAAAGTTTTACAGAGAAAATTTGAGAACAGCAACTTTGGTCTAAAGTTAAGCATTTGCACTTGATTTTAGACGAGGAAACATCACCATGATAAAACTAAAATATCTTTTTTACCTGATAACTGTAGCATGTTTTAGACAAATCTGTGCATAAAAACTCCAAAAATGGTTCATTCATTAAATTTCGAATCACTACAGCCATGGCTTCTATTCTTCTAGGGAGACTTGCTTTCAGTTTTTCAAAGAAATCAGAGAGAATGGCCTGGGTTCGATTCCCGACTGGGCGACCAGGGTCGTTTCTGTGTGGAGTTTGCCTGTTCTCCTCCGGGTACTCCAGTTACCTCCCACAGTCCACAAACATGCAGTTAAGCTAATTGGACATGCTAAATTGCCCCTAGGTGTGAGTGTGTGTGTGAATATGTATGTCTGTCTGTCTGCCCTGCAATGGACTGGCAACCTGTCCAGGGTGTATCCTGCCTTCAGCCCAATGACAGCTGGGATAGGCTCCAGCACCCCACCGCGACCCAGAAGGATAAGCGGTTTAGATGATGTATGTATGTATTTCTTCTTCTTTTCTCAGTAACGGTTTCTTGACAGCTACACATCCTTGCAGACCCATAGTGTTGTCTGCTCACAGAGGAAAGTTGGACAGAAACACCTGTGGATTTTTTCAGATCTGAAGCAAGTGGAGTGGAGTTTGATTTTCTCCTCTCTCTCTCAAAGCTTTAAGTGCTGTTTATCTGATGGTGACAGTTTTGGTGGTCTACCAGATCTTACACAGTTGTTGGGAGTCCCATTTTCTCTATATCTTTTAATAATGTTTTAACTTTTTTTAATGTTTTTAACTTTTTTTTTTGGAAACTCCCAAACTGTTTTTCCACTTATTTTCCTTTGGCTTTCCCCTTCCTTGGGCAAAAGTGGATTATCTTATATCTAATCTTTTCAGAAACATCTCCTGAAAAATGAATAACATACTTAGTGGGCGTTTTGGCAGGAAATGAAATAAATGATTTTTGCATAACACTTCATCTCAACTAATTCTAAGTACTACAACTATTACAAGTCGACAGGAACATGAAATCTCCTGCATGCTGTAGTATGCCTACACTTCCAATTGTGATGTGAACTGAGATTTTCTCTCAACATTTCCACTGCTGTGTGTTTTCAGAGATTGACTTTGATGCCCTTCTCCAGAGGGACCCTGGGAATGCGAGTCAGCTGACTCCAGCCCAAAAAGGCCTCAGTTTCTATGGGTTACAACTCTGGCTACATGCCAACTCCCAGTCCACTGGCCCAACGTGCTGAAACTACAACACCACATCCCTGTAAGCACTGTAGGTGTTCCTGCTTCCTCAAAGCAATGAAACTTGTGCCTGAATAGGGCCCATAGTTTCCCACCAAACTCTAATTATTGGGTTCGTCTATAGGTCTCTACTGCAGCCAGCTACCTGCTCAGGTTCTTAAGGTGTGCAAGCAGTCAAAATCATTGCTCAAGAGTTTCAGTGAGATTCCTGGAAAAATGAAAGGAAGTATTAGGATATACGCAGATCATGTTTAAGGTACAAGTGCCTGCTTGTCTGTCTCTACTGGCCACTAGTACCTGCTTTTATGCGGTCAGGGGATTTCCTCCTTTTCAAAATGAAGCACTTCCTCCTTCTTAAACAAAGATTAATCACAGATAAAAGTGAAAGAATCTGTTTTTTTCACTTCTTGTGTCGGGTCACGGCTACAGCGAGAATTGCTTGATATCATAAACAGATGTGAGAAAACGCTATTGGATGGAATCAGGAAGACCTCCATTAAATCCATGTCAGCATTACTGGTTTGTTTCATGATATTCCTCTGTTTGGCGAACTGTTGGCCTGATTTTAGGCACGTACTCAGGACTAACCGTGAGGCTAAGCGCCTCTTCCCTCTGAATCAAACCCACATTTTGTGTCTCAGCAACAGAGTAATAAACAGCAGTTTAAATTTAGGCGTGTTTGAGTGAATTTTTCGCTAAGGCACATTTTGATGCCACTTTGGCACACACTGTTGTCCAGAGTGGTTTAATTTTGAAGTAGCCTGTTTCTGCTGGGCTCTAAAATACATACTGGTAGCAGCTGTGGCTAGTATACTTAGCACAGCCCCAGGCACCATGTCATTGTGCATCAGTTATTTGATGCCTTAGTTGAACATTCACTCCCTAAAATGAGGGGCTGTCAGTCATGTGGGAGGTCTGTCATCACTGTGGTAACACATTCTTCTGATGAGATCTCTTTCTTTAGAAGGACGCAGGCTTGGTTAACAGCTTCACATCCGCAGTGCCACAAAACAACAACCGTGACCTGCTTTGTGTCAGTAAACAGTTCACAAGAACCCGCTGAACAATTTAGAAGAAGACTTGTAAAAACTGAGTTGTTGAATATCAAGAATTTGTAATAACTTGTGTTGGTGCTAATTTGGTCCAAAATTATCATGATTCAAAATGTTAGACCTTGGATTGCCATATTCATAACAGCAGAGAAATTATGAGAAACTATGGAAGCTGAAATTAGAGATTAACCCATAATTTATCATTGCCTAGACATTCAACACTTACAGGGGAGCAGGGCTTTTGCTTTTTGCTTAAACAATTTTGAAAGAATATGAGCAAGATTAATCATTTTTTATACATGCAACCTACATC